AAGTTGAAGTCCACACGTCTTAAAGTTGCCAAGGTTGAAAAACCCTGGTCTAGAACAAAAAATGGAAGACTCTATTGACTTGCACTAATGGAATACCTTTTTTTTTTGGTCCCATTCAAATAAAATCAGCAGAGGGAAGCAGTCCTTTCTCACACTATCTCATTGACAGGCTTTTGGAACATGTTACCAGTCCAGAATTCATTGGAATACAGGAGATAAGGATGCAAAATAAATTTATCAGAGATGTCTTTTTAGGAAAAGTGTTCTTATCTGCCTAAACAGATTTTATCACCGTAGAAATGAACACTCATGGAATACACTGCTGCCAATTCCAAACTGTACAAAACATATAAAATATGTTTATTTAAGGAAGTTATGTACCAAAAAACCCATGCATCAATTAGAGGATGTTTTATACAGACCAGTGTATTTTAGGGAAAGTTAAATGCAATGTGTGTATCTTATAGATAATTACATAATGAAAACAAATGAAAGAATTCTTGTTTGCTTTTGCTTTCATATAATGGACTGGATTTAGGCTAATGTGCACACTCTAAGTTTGGAGTTAAATGTCTGGTGAGCCTTTTGTTTAAAAATTTTCTATAGATCTGAATGAGGGTCTATGCAGATAAGATCATTGAACTGAACACTGAATTGATTAAAACTCATGCAGTCAATTAAAAGTAATAATGCAAAATATCAGTATCTTTGCTCGCTATCAGAAGATATTCTATGCTCCAAACCCAGAATAACCATCTAGGTTTATTAGCCTCTTACATCTGAAAAGTACTGCTCTGTTCTGATGAAAAGTGTTTTACATCCTTACAGTCAAATGGCATATTAAGTTAATTAAGTACTGAATGTAAAGCTTATCTTGTGGTTTTTACTTAAGCTTGGGAGGCCATGATCAGTAGTGGGACCACTGTGCTTAAATTTTGGGCAGCTAAATATGTTTCCCAAACTCTTTCATTTCTGAATTTCACTCCTGGCCCTTCACAGCATGGATGCTAAAACTAAAGAACCTCACTGGAAGCTTGCTATGTATTTCTCCTATATTTAAGCATCTGAAACTTTTAGACAGCCTTTCTTATTATTAGAAAACTTAAAGGCCTTTGGTAGTTTCCCAGTTTCCAGAATTAGCACACCTAGGAATCCCATATGACATAGCCACCTCTAGAACTATTACATCAATAGTGGCAGTACACACTGATTTACTTCAGACTTGTGAGTCAAATAACCTTGGCAAAATAGGAATTGAGGACAAGGATACACTAATTGCCCAAATGAGCTAGCAATTAGTGTTGGCTCTTTTCCCCGACTCTCCTTTTTCATTAATCGAGGGTCAAAAAACATAAATTTATAACCAGTAAAAAATGATAATGAACAGAGAAATACACAGCCAATGAAAACACAACCAGGTTTGTATCAAGTTGGTATAGGTTTTTTTTTTTTTTTAATGTCCAGAATTGGGCAATCTCAGGCTATACGGTTAATTGCAGTTTTTGGCCTAAAATCTCACACTAGTAGCAACTGCATTGGATAGTGAGGAAGTGGTAAAGAATGGGACTATACAATAGGGTGCTGGTATTACTCAGTGCTGGTGTGTCAGCCCTTCAAAGTAGTCCAAACCAGGAAACCAAAACCATGAGTACTAACACTACTTTTACTATAAAGTTACAGTAACAGAATCTTGCAAGTCTGAAAGTGCTTCCCCCCTCCCATGCCTTTACATTTCAGAGAACTAGAAAGGGTCCCTTCTGAGATGGTTCCCCCACCCGTATTCCGGCTTTGGACTCAGATTTTGTTTATCAGACCATTGTCTAGGCTGTGGCTCTTCCTCCTGTCTCTCAAGGTTATTCTCACAGCCCATTACACGGTGTCATCTCAGCCATCCATGAGGAAATGTGACTTTTTCAAGCATATTTTTTTCCTGAGGTTTGTGCTGCAGCAGTGTAGGGCTGCCCCAGGATGCCACAAAAAGATGTAACAGCTTCAATACATTGCAGAAAGGGACAACGGAAATATCTCCATGCAATCCTAAGCAATGCATTTCCTTTGGAGCCCTACTAATCAGAAACACCTTCTCCTTCCAAGGACATATTTGACTGTACAGGAAGGAAGGAAGGAAGGAAGGAAGGAAGGAAGGAAGGAAAGAAAGAAAGAAAGAAAGAAAGAAAGAAAGAAAGAAAGAAAGAAAGAAAGAAAGAAAGAAAGAACACTGAGAAGACTTATTCAAAATGATCAGATAATCAAAAAACACAGTACATGTGTTTGTGTGTGTGTTATATGCTTGCTTGTATAAAAGACAGAGTGAGTTTGAATGAACTCTCACACACTGGCTAACACAAGCTCTGCTGTACTACACTTTCATTTCTTAAAATATGAAAAAAAATCTACTTGAATTGAAATGGCAGATTTTTGTCAGATTACTCAAAGCGAACTGTCAGGAAGCCACTTACCCCCAGTTGCCACTGTAATTTCACGTAGGAAATGGCCATAAAATGGAAAATCGAAGGACAGATTCACTCTCTGCAAGGAACAACACCAGACGATAACATTAATAAAAGAAATAAGAGCAGAGAACCAGTCAAAACACGATCCAGCCATCCACAGCTGCTTCTACCTTAAAGCTTTTTACATTAGTCTTCCTCACATTGGATTTTTTTTTTTAGTATTAAAACTGATGAAAAATGTTCAGCAATATATAAAGCAGCCTTTTTAATTCCCATAATCCTCACTTAGAATGACCATGCTGATCTGGGATTATGGAAATTCTTATCTAACCAATCTGAAGCATACCAGATTGGGAAGCCCGATGAAAAGAAGGAAGTTTAAAATTGTAAATGAAACCTCAGGCTGTCACCCAGGTACATTGGATGTCATCTCCACAAAGTAGATAGGTTAGGATCAGGTCTGCAAATCTCTATGAATTGTATTTATTTTATTTTAGTCAATTTATATTCTGTCTTTCCTCTAGGAGTTCAGGGCGAATCTTCCTTCATCGTCAACAACAGCCCTATGTCACAAACTGGCTGAAGTCACAGAGTGAGTTTCTATAGGTAAGGGGGGAACTGAATCAGGTCTAGTTCAACACTACATTAGCTGGGTCATACACTGAGCTAAATCATCAACTTGTTTCCTTGGATTTAGCTAACAATGTGTGAACCCAGCCATTGTGTTTGTGGATAGGATTTATGGTTTATGCTGTGTAGGCCAGGTCATATTGTGGCTTAGTCAATGTACTGTTGTTAAACAACCCATAGCTATGGAAGATATATGAAATCAAGTCAATGTAGGATTTCATTGGGAAGAAATATTAGCACCTTGAATGTCACAGCTCTGCTGAATTATGCAAAGAAAGGAGAAGAAATCTGTTTCACCAGAGAAGATGGGACAGATAACAAGAGAAGCTTCTCTTCAAAATTTGGCAACTTACCATCATCAATAGCCTGCAAAAGGCCCAGGTGACTAGCTAGCCACACAGTCTAACATGGGGCTACAGGATGAGTCCCTTGCTATGGAAAGCATGAGAAACTAGGGCTGTGCAGAGCTTTGGAACAGATTCTGTAAAGGTGTTCTGCCATGCAAACAGGCACTAAGCTGCAAATCTTTAAAGCAGCCAGTTTAAATCTTTACATTATCTTCATTTTAAGTTGTGCCCATTCACTCCAGAAAAAACAAATTCTCCCATCCAGATAAAAGACTTACTTGGTATGAATGGAATTGCTGTATTTTTACAACTTCAGATTAGATTTCCTTTCTTCATAGGAACCAGAACTTGAAGTCTTTATTAACATATCTTCTGTTTACAACTGGGAGCATTAATTCTATTTTATAAATATATCATCCCAAAGAAAAAGGGATGTGCAAGATGCAAGATTGCTACTGTGTTAAAAAATATTTACCTATATGATTCTTTATAACATTTGTATCTGTCAGCTCTTCAAGTTAGGTTAGATTAGGAAACAGAATCCCCCCAAAATATTGGAACCCTACTTTACTGATACAGGCTTTACTGGAAATGTGTACAGAGAAAGGCAGAAAACTGAAGACTTTTATGTCATCATTTAAAACCTGTGATTTTTTTTTAAAAAATATGAGCTCTGGTCTGCGGATAAGCCGAATCCAATTTTGGGGGTGTATTTTGGAGCCAAAAATTCTTGGCTTATACACAAGTATTAAGAAAGCTACTTGTTCATGCACAAGAAACTGGACTGCAGTCAATCTAGCATTGGCTGAGATCTCTAGATGGTTGGGCAGAAACTGGATTTTGAGAAGTTCAACACTGGGAAAACCATGTTGGATTCTATAATTCCCTGTTCCTCTGAAACTGACCCAGAGTTACATTATCTCTTGGAGCTGGCAGAGCAAATTCACTCTCATTTAAGTCAAGGTGAAATGGGCAATAGTTTAAAATAAACCCACACTTACTAGGAATAGTGGCTTTGTTAATACATGATACTAACCAAATAAGCCATGATTTACAAACCACTGTAGCTGGCCTCAAAAATCACAGTAAATCAAATCCAAGCAAACCACATTTTGGCTAGTGTGGTGTGTAAATTCAGTCATTGGTTCCCAAGACCCTGGCCTGTTTTCTGTTCTTCTCTCATATGACTACTGCAAATATTTCTACAATATGAGCTGAAACTAATTTAGGAAGACTCCATTCAGTCTGCAAAAATAAGTCTGAATGATTGTGAACCATGTTGCATATAATCCAAGAAAGCAGACAAGCAAGCAAAAAATCTGTCTTGGGTTAAATACGAAAAAAGTAAGCTAATGCTCAAGTCAGTATTTTTCTCTGTTTGATAGTTAAACCAAGACCATGTATTTTGATTTCCAGAGTTGTGAAAATCACGCTTGCCCAGACATACCCTGAATTCAAAGCAGTTGATTCTGAGGACCAGTGTATTTAAGATTATAATCTAATTTACATAAAGTAAGATTCTCTGTAAAGCATTCTTGATATATCCATATTTACTTTCCAGTTCCTATTCAAAATTTAAAAACTTAGCCTAATTTCAAGCTGATGATTTAGCCAAAAAACAAAACAAAAAACCCACTTCTTTATTTACCTTTCAACATTCTCCAAATACATCCACAGAGGTTTTCTTATTTCTTAATGAAATAAAGCCAAGGGCATCCCTTCTATTTTCCTCTCAACATCTTCCTTATCCTTATGCACTTACTCTTTTATTGTAAATTCCAAACTCTTCCTTTAGAGCTCACATTCTTGATGCTTTTTGATCTTTGCACTGTCTCTTATAATCTACCTCTCCTACAAAGCTCTGAGTTTGTTTTTTTCTTTACTTCTGCTCTCTGCCTTATAGGCAACTCCTTTGTACTGCTGGACACAGAACATAATGAGCCTCTAATTTCAAAAGCCTTTTTTTCCTTAACAAATGTTGATGCTTTTTTTCAAACACGTTTGCACAAAATAAGTTCCACTCTTTTTGATGGCATTTGTTCCATGTGAAGATTCACAGTCTACATCTATAAGGCACCTTTCTCATTCCAACTTACAACTCATACAGTTTTTACCCATAAATCCATTAATATCCTGCCTTGGTTCAAACATAACCTAGAGCTCCAATTTTGAGTAATGATGTTTGCCACCTACTTTGGGTGGAAAATTAGTAATTATGTTTCTAATGCACTTAACTCACCAATGAATATCTCCTACCTCTGTCTAAAAAAAAGGCAAAATATAAATATGGGCTTAAAATTCCCACCCAATCCCCTTAGGTGGCTTCCTTATATTACTGCCTTGCATCCAGTGGCACTTGGTTGCCAAAAGAGAAATAAAACAGCTCCTGTCCATTAAAAACTTACCTTCCACACCTTAAATCACAGCATGACCTCAGTGTACCTTTAGAAGAGACCAAATGTATTTGTTGGTTTCACAGCTACCAGTTTGTTGTTACACTTCTTCCAGGTAGTTTTAGTTGCCTGAGCATTTTTTTCTCCTGAGCCTTCCCATGAAAACCTGAATGAATCCAAACAGCTGGGTAACTTAGGGGCCCATGGACATTACAAATCAGGAATGAATACCCGTGTTGAGTAATTCTCAATTTCCTGTCCATTCTTCTTGTCATGAGTTGACTTTGGTGCCAGGACCTTGGCTTAAATTTAGCCATGGTCATGGTATGATACTGACTTACGTCCAAGAGTTGATAACCCAAATGAAGCCAGAATTGCCAGATTAGAATATAATGGGATTTAATACAGTCCAGGAACTTTAAATCAAAGGTGGTATCTCACAAAAGAGAGCAGCTCAAAATAATTTAAACTGAGATACTAATGTGATATTCCCTTGTCTCAACTTCTTCCAGTTCTTTTCAGGCCTCAATGAATAGTGAACACATTTACAAAAGGAGACATTGCTCTTCTTTTGTTCTTTAGACTCACATATTTAAGCAATCATTTTCTTAATTTGCCCTGTTCAATTTTATTTTTACATCTTGCTACTAAGAGAATTTACTCCATCAAAAGCGATTATCTATGCTGCTCCAAGAAAAGCAATATTCTCCTTGGTATCTCTCTATTTCATGGGTGTACTACTTTTTCAGCCTGAGGATAGCTCCAGACATTGAGCAATGTATCAAGAGTTGCTCTCTAAAGCAAGTAGGAACATGTTTTATTACTTTATTCTTTTTTATTCTTTTATTATTTTAGTGAAGGCTCAATTTAATGGGCTGACTTAGGAGAGGAGGGTGTCCGTTTTTCCCAAGTGTCCATTAAATCAGAGACTGCATGACTGCAGCAATTTACATCAATTGTATGAAGACCTCATTACACAAATGTGGAAACTGATAGTGATTTCTGTCATTGTGATTTGATGATAATCTGGGATTTGCTGCAGAAATCTGGTCTGTTGCAGGCAAGTATGTTGTACTGATACCTGAAAATCTAAAGTTAAACTGTAGCTTGCTTTCTTCAAAACATTCACAAACACAGAGAAACCCACTCCAATTCTGATTTTAAAAACAATACATACTCTGTTATGTATTATTTCCTTTTTACCCTCTATCCCTACTTTCCTACTTTTCTCTATGTACAAACAATCTTGTAAGTAAGCTGTTAACAATTTAAATCTTCGTGTGTGTGTGTGTTCTGTTTTCCTTAGGGAGCTATCTGCATTTTGCTCACTAATTTTAGCACGATATAACATTACCCTTTACTGCATAAAGACAGAGATGCATCTCTTTACAAGGACAAAGAAAGCATTACAGGCAAGTTCTGACAAAGCAACTATTAGAATTTTTAACACTCTGACAGTTCTTTTATTTGCCCCCCCCTTCCTACTTCTTCCAAATTTATTATCTTGAGAAGCTGGAAGAAAGCACAGAACAGTGAAGTGATGTCAAGTCCAAGTAAAAGCCACATTTTTTTCTTGCACTTGCAGGGAGAAGGTTATAATCTTGATTTAACTATAATCGGTGTTCTGTTTTTTTTAAAAAAAGTTTGAATGAATGAATTTGATATGTGAGATCCTTGCACATGGAGCAAATTGCCAAGGTTAAACACATTAAATGACTATTTGATTGCAGAGCTACTTTCTGAGAAAGAGTCACGCTAATTTGGATCTGGATAAAGGGTAAGCTATTATAAAACTATTATTCTAGAATGACTTAGCTAAAAGATTATTTATACGAGATAGAAATAATTGTTTTAGCCAAGCAGACAACCATTTACTGTGGCAGATTACTAATCTGTCTCTTGATAGTTCATAGACTGGAATTATAAAAAAAAAAAAAAGCAGAGAAACTCATGTTTGGGCTTGCTAACTTTCTAAATGGCAAAGTGATGTTAGATGTTCTCCTACATTGAAATGTTGCGTCCAAAACATGTTATTTCCACAAAGCAAGACTCACACACATGCATTTGTCTTTGTGATTAATAATTCAAGATTAAATTATCATTTCAGAATTCCAGTTTTCATTTTTATTGTACATGAACATGCTTATGAACATTTCTGCTGGATTGCTTCAATAAGAGGCAGGCTTGATTTTTCCAAGTCACCATCCTCATATCTATTCACTGTTCCCTTTCTCACCTTAGTCTTCAAGGTTCTGCCACTACTTTCAAATATGGTCCATATGCAAAGAATTTAGACTAACCACTACCTGAGCATAACCATGCCATTAGGGCAGCTAATGTTATTCTTTATTTGTGTGGGTGAGACTTACAGTTGCTTTCACATAAACAGAAATAACCTTTAGTTCTCATCCCCAAATTGTTAATTGAAGCACAACAGTTAATTATTACAAGAATAACTGATATTTGATTACTAATGATTAACATTATTTTCCGCAATGCAGTCTGCTATACAGCATAGATCTCATTGGAACAAGTATTTTATATATAAATATATAGGTCACAAAATTAATTCAAGTGAAACTAAGCTGCTATAAGGTTTATATAACTTGCTCTGTGCCAGCCCTTCAAGATAGGCCAAGTCAAGAAACTGAGACCACAAGGAGTCCTGGAATGCTATTTTACTGTTGTAGGGTGTAATAACAAAATCTTGAAAGCCTCTCCAAGTTTCTCTCTGTCCCCTCTTACGCTAAACAAAATCAAGAAAGGGTTATTTTTGAGCTTTTCTCAGACTTGTTTCCATCTCTGGACTGTGTAATCTTTTCTGAAGGTCTCTCCTTAAAAGGTTTTTTTCATATTTTCCCCAAGGTCATCTCTAAATTCCTTTACACTACATGATATTGGAATAGGACTTGGAAATTCGGTCCTGCTTGTTTCTCAATGGTTTTTTAACAAATAGTTAAATTTGTGTAATCAAATGAATTTCTTTCTGAGCTATCCATTTGTATTTGCCAAAATTTAAGCAACTGGCTTTCAGAAAGGTCAGACCCTGAAATATAATACCACTTTGACCTTTTGAACAAAACGAAATCCAATATGACCTCTTCCACATTTGTACAAGCTTCTGACCTCATCACCAAACCAGAATATAATTAATATGCATCATGATTATGCAACCGCAGTCTTCAGCTGAATAAAGGCTGTGTGTTTAACTGCATGTTGGCACAGATGCAGAGATTTATGGATGCTAGATGACCACTTTCACCACACACTTTCAATGTATGTTCCTGCTGTTAAAAAAAAAAAAATCTTTTTAAGCTTCCTTAATCATCATTATCAGAATGGTCTGTAATTCAAAACGTGGAACTAATTTTTTCTACACAGGACATTTGAATTTAATATCAGGAATTCTGACAGCTTTTTGATTTTTTTAAAAACTACAAAGAAACTAGCAAACACAGAAACATACAATTCTTTGTCCAGAGATTTCCTCCTGATTCACATTCCAGATGAGTTCAGGTAAACGTCTCTTGGCTGAACCAAGAGCCATGCCATTAAGGTTCTTTTTGTGAAACTATTTACTTCCTCTTACCACACAACCCATCATATCTAGAAATCTCACATAACCTATTGTGCTATGTCATATTTATTTTTTAACTGAGACATATGATGAATTCCACCTTCCCAATCTATTCAGCTATTCTTTTATGTTTGGCCAAGGAAAATAATATCTATAAATTATATTGTCTAAATATGGAGGATATACGATTGCCTCTCTCCTTCCAGATTCTAGAGTCTCTTCTCCTTACTTCTTTTAGCCTGTCATATGGTTGGTGAGTCTGTTGACCTTGGAAAATGACATGTTTTAACCCAACGGAGAGCAGAAATCTAAATCCCTTATTTCTTTCTCATTTATTCATCCTCCTTCCTCTCAACTTCTGATACTTCCTTCTGTATGTTTAGTGTTAGTGAAGAACCCCTTCAAACTATCTGACTTTTTTCCCCAAAATGCCCAATTGCTCCTCAGCTCCTCAGCTGAATTGAATCAATTCAGTCACTTCAACTGAGTTGTCATTTCTGCTACTGAGTTTACATCCCTTTAAGACTAATCTTGATTTTTCTGGCAGCTTTCAGTACATGGAAAAACTATGGGAATTCTATTTGGCAGTCACAGGGCATCGAATTATATACGTAAGTCAGCAGCTTAGTTAACATACTCACCAAGAATTATGTGTGGGATCAGAATTAGCCAAGACATATTTTTGATATGGAAATAGAATTACATCTGTCACCTCTGTTCTCATTTGACAAGTATCAATAACTCAAAACAACAATATTTTGACAAGGATTTAATAGCTCTCAGGAACTTAGCTCTTACAAATGTAAAGGATAAACATGGGGCTTCTTCTTTTTAGTTCTAAATATGGCAGTTAAGCTAGTCAATTTGGACTATAATTCATCTGTCAAACAAACGCAAGGGCAAGCAACCACTGACTTGAATGTCACTGAGACTATTTCTTGCTTTCAAAACATTTTGTAATCTTTCTGCAGCTTTGCAAAGAAATTCAAAGGCTCATCTGGTTAAAAAAATGTTTCATGGAAGAAATATTTTCCTATATGTATGTAAAATGAGACTAAGACCAAGACAACAAACAAAAATCAGATAAGGATTTTCAGATTTGAGTTATAGATTAAGTGATTAATATCTGATTACTTGCTATGCTATGCTATGCTATGCTATGATGTGGCATGCATCATAAAGGTAATCTGATTATTAATAAAAAGGATTAAATTGAAATGCTTATCAAATGTCTTACTGCTGCTTGTCGGTGGGTATTGGAGAGGATTCCATGGATCTTCACCTTATCTTTTTCCATTTTATCAATGTTTACCCACAAATCTCGACTGGTAGAATCAAATGGGCCGTATGTCCTTGAAGTGTAATAATTGTGATCCATGTCCTCCTGGGGAGAGAAAAAGAAAAGCATAGATTTGACCCTATTTTTCAGTTTTTTCCCCCAGATGTTTAGAAACAGATGCAAAACTCTTATTTCTTTCATCATATAGATCAAGGAAAGGTTAAAACAAAAAACATAAAACAGAGAATGCGAATGCTAGAATAGAAGAATAAAGACCCACCTTGTGATTTTATAAATGTAGTTTTTACATTCTAAAGAACTGAATTAATAGCTGCTACATATACAGACACAAATGGTAGCTTCGGATTAGGAAATGAGTGATAAATCTTAACTGATATCTTCTGTTTTAATGGGGATGACAAACAGCTTTTCCCTTCATGAATGCTACATTTTAAATACCATTTAAATTGTGATATTGTGAATATATTTGGGCATTTCTTTGTTTTTCTTCAAATATCTGTAGTAATGTGGGATTGCCCACTCCCAGTTTTATCTGCCTGTCCAATAAGACTTTCTCTGTAGCTCTCATGAGGAATGTCACCCAAAAAGACCATGGAAGCGACCCTTCTCAACTGCTGCCCCCTTTGGTGGAACAGCATTTCCTCAGAAATTCAAATATTCCCTACTCTATTGGTTTCTAGAAAGGCCATGAGAACTTGGCCATTCGACCTGGCCCAGCTTTGGGGGTGCTAGAGTGTTGCAGTGTTGTTCCCCCTGGCATTTTATTTGTTTAATGTAACTCGTGTTCCCAAATAGAGTAAAGGTCATTCCAAGATACATCAGAAACTTTCATGGACAAGATCACCATTTTACAACTTCTGTATATTAAGAACCACAGCCAAAGGGCATGTGCCACACACATCATGTTTGGACATTCATATTTCAGCTTAAGAATTGTGTGTTTCTGTATATGTGTATGTGTGCTTCTTAGACATAGTATCTTTCCTTGGCCTTTTTCCAAGAACCAAAATAAGTCAGGAAGCCTGGAATTAATCATTGTTTTTACAAGTAGTCCTCAGCTTACAACAGCAATTGTGATTGGAATTGCTGTCACTAAGCGACATGGTTGTAAAGCATGATGTCACATGACTGCTTCACTCAGCAGTGGCAGTTCTGAAGTCCCAGTTGCCACTGTTAAGTGAGGACTGCGTGGGTTGTTGAGGACCTCATGTGACCATGGCTTCCATCTTCCTGCTGGCTTCCCCATTGACTTTGCTTGTGGGAAGCCAGCAAGAAATGCCAGAAATCGTGATGATGTGACTATGGCTCACTGTGATGGCCGGAATTCCGAGCACTGGTCATAAGTGCCACTTGTGTCATTGTAACTTTGAATGGTCAGTGAACTAATGGTCATAACCTGTGGACTACCTGTAATTTCATCTGAACCAGGAAACTGTCAGAACCTGAGCAAATCAGGATTTAAACTAAAACAAAATGGGAAACTTGATTAATTGAAGAATTTATCAAGTTTAATCACAGAGCAACAAGAAGCAAAAATGGAAGAAACTGTACACATGGATAACATTCATTCATGTTTTAATTCATTCTCAATATATGTTCCTTCAATTGTGGATGGATACATACCTAGTATCCTAATTTTTCATTTAATAATTTCTAGTAATAAACTAGATTTTTAAATATTCCCCCCTTCTGTTTAAAACCAAGCATTTTTATGGTTTAACAGCAAGAGCTACTCCTGGAGGAAAATATAGATGAAAACATATACTGTATACAGATCTAGCCAGAATGGGCTCAAAAGACATAGCAATTTAATTTCAGCAAAAAAAAAATGCCAACTTGCACAACAGGTATCTGAGCCTGCAGAATTTTAATGATTTTAAGATTTTAAGATCTACTGTAGAGTATGATTTCCATTATCATGAGCAGGAAAAGTGTGTAATGCAGACTTTTGACATGTGTCATCAATTGCTCAAATTTCTTCATCTAATTTCTCATCTCAAAGTTCACCAAAAGTTAAAAAAACAAACAAAAAACAATCAGCCACTACAGTCTATAGAAATGATAGCACAAATTTCTTCAACTTCAAGCCCAACTGCAAAAATTACTAAGCTCTATCCATATTATCTTACGTTCCCAAATATGGTTTGATAAAGAGATTTTTGAAAATGTTCTAAGAGTCATCTGTAGTACATATAGTACCATGTGTTAAAAAAAAAATACAGCTAATACACATTTTGATTTCTTCCACACACAAAGTGACCTCAATGAAATTTTAGCATCTGTTGTTGGGAAGCAATTGCTTCACCCTTTAAATACATCATTCTGATGATATCTGAAGAATTTTGTGGAAGACAGGAACTGCATAAGCTTCTCATGAAGCTCACAATACTCATGGATATATCCCCATATTTCCTTTCTTGCAGTGCTTCCTGGAGTAATTCTGTGACTGTACAACATGATGTGCAAAGAAGCGGTATGAACTGGCAATGCGTGGGGTGAAACCCTGTGCTATGTACAGTGCAGACAAGATAGTTTAAACATAAGAGAGACACACAAATATATAAATTGCCAAGATAATCACAACTCCGCATGCATGCATGCATGCATGCATCCATCTATCTTATACACACATGTACGCATCTCTTTTTTCAGGAAATACTTAATTTAGGCAAAAATAAGATAGCAGGATTTGGCATAGGTATTGAGATATTGAAGAAGAAGTTGATGCAGGGGGGAAAAGGCACTTTGACTTCTTTACTCTTGTTCCATTTTTGACATTTGTCCCTGAAGGTGATTACAGCTAGTATTGGAAGTTGCATTCAACCATGCCAAGTATCAGGAAGCACAAGCTGAATCTGCCAGAAACATAACTATAGTGTGAATTTATTCTATACTGTTCTTTTGAGATACAACTATTTTGCTCCTGGCTTTAAGATGAAGAACTCTGAAACTGATAGTTCCACAAGAAGCATGAAAAAAGCGTGCAATTTCATTTCATGTGAACAGTATGCCTCAAAAATAGATTAAACTGTTAACAATACAATGTTTCTTCCATTTCTCTTTGAGATAGGGATAGAATTGATTTATGTTCCTCCCCAAATGCTGGCAGATGATAGTAATATGAAAAAGCTGTTTAATAAAAGGTTCGGTTTTGTTATTAAAATCCTGAGAATCCTTAAGAGGCAACTTGCATTTTGATGTTGGAAATCAAACATCAAATCAAGCATGTTCAAGAAAAAGAGATACTTCTAAAAGTTAACTGCAGGGAATAAAAAATAGAAGGAAATAAGTTCTCAGTGAGAGATGACAAATTAAATTTGGTGCCACTGCAGTAGTCTTCTAAAAGAGGAGTCTCTGACCTGCTACTCAGTCTAATTAGATGACATAAATATATATACAGTACCTGTCCAGAAGAGTTTCTTCCATTTGTTGAATTTAACAGTTATCAGATGACCCAAGAAGATTCTGGGGTTTCACTTGGCTCTAAAACAGTTCAAAGTTTGGTCTGGCATCTTAGTCTGAGTAAGTCAAGTTGCTGCCATATTTTTTTTTCTTAACAACACATTTGTCTGCTGTGAATACTCCCACCCATGAGTTGTCCTGTTTCATCTCTCACTTTGCCTATTCAATGAGAAAAATGGTTGATCATGCTTCCATACATAAAGCCCTTGTATGGTCTACACAAGTCCACAAAGAGAAAGAACTTGATGCACGTTTCTGAGCCACAATCAATAAATGTTGCTGGTTCTAAAAAAAAATTAATGATTGAGAAGAGTTTTAAAAATCATTAAAATAATACTACATAAACCACAAAAACTAGATAAAACAATGGCTAATTTATCTTCCAATTCATGTCAATATAAAGCTCTATTTTTGTCCTTATTATATAAGCAAATTAGGGATCAAAGGATATTCCATATGGATTCTATAATCATCTTTCTCCCCTCTCATACACATCACCATTGTGCAGAGTTATCAATTTAAATCAAATTGATTGCTTTGTAAAAGTGCACTCTAAGTGATACCTCGATCAGTTTAAACAATCACCAAATCCAAGGGTCTAATTATAGCCTACAGCACAAATAATCTAGTTATAGGGACATGTGTGTTGTTGTTGTTTGTTGTTTAGTCGTTAAATCGTGTCCGACTCTTCGTGACCCCATGAACCATATTGGGCCAGGCCTTCCTGTCCTTCACT